GCTAGATTCCAGGTAAGTACTGTATTTTTTGATTATTTTTCTTGGTAGCTAAAAACCCCAACTCATTTAAATGCAAAATAATGCTGAGGAAACAGAGTTCAAAGTTTCTTATAGAAATCTCTAATACCTCCTGAAGCCGAGCTTAAAACACCTCTCATTTTTCTTGGTAATAGTCTTGTGTGTATTTTTTCTCCTCTCCCCTTTTAAAACCAATTTTTTTTCACCCTCAAAAAATACCAGCTCGTGAGAACATCTCTAGAGGAATCTGAGACAGATGGGCAGGATGCAGAGGCCACTGGTGCTATTTCATTTTTGTGACGAATCAATATTTACTAAAGTGTTTTCTGGCTTGCTGTTTTTATTTAGACTTCTACTGGTAAATAATGGTTGAGATAGAACAATTTAATTTTTAAGATTAACACCTGTAGCTATCTTTGAAAAACTGGTAGTCTTAAACTTGACTGGCAGCGTATCTTACCACGTAGTTGGTAACCAGAAGTGATTTGCAGAATACAAGTATTTCCTAAAATACTCTAGAGCTTCCTGAGGGAGTATAATAAAGGATCAACTAGACATAATTTTTCTAAGAGCTGGAGAAACATCATTTCCAAGCTCGGCTCTTTAACCCCCTGCTAATACGCTCTTACAACTGTCCTTGCAGAGGGCTTGGCAGCGGCGCGGCTGGCTTGTGTTAAAGGCGCTCGCAGGGTCGGTGCCTCGGTGGCGTCGGGTTGGGACAGCAGCCTCCCGCTTCCCCTGCCCAGCACGGCTTTGGGCTTGCTCATCCCTTCTGGTTCTCATCTGCCCCTTCGAGGGGTTTCTCTGTTCTCTGCGTTACTGGTGAAGCTGGTTTGTTCTTCTGGCTTTGACCAAACTCGTTGCAATTTGGATGGAGAGTATTGTTTAAGGTTAATGACCCTCCGTTGTCCTGTGTCCAGTGGGTGAGTATCATTTACCCTGTCAAGAGGTGGTGGATTTCCTCCATTACAGCAGGATTTCACTTTTGGGAATGGCTGTTGTCAGCCAGATTCCCTACGTTGAAGACTCTTCACTAAAATTGTTGTGAACAGCACGTGTTTAAAGGGCTGTGCATGGGCCTGGGCGTTGGTGATGTGATTTTAGAACTTTTTTTTTTTTCTTTTGTAGTAACTTAAACTTATGACTATGCAGATATTAAGAAAATAAAAATTCTGGTGAAGGTTGTACCCCAATGTCCTGCTGTAGTAGCATTGTTAAACTTAACATTGTTTGGTTTCCTCTGGCCCTTCGGATTTTTTTTGGTGGAGCTGAACAGCCGTAACTCCTTTCAGAAGCAGTCTTTCCTCCCGTGCAGAAGTTCAAGTGGGTGGCTGTGCCTCTGTGATTTACGTGGAAAAATACACAAAATGAATTGGATACGTGAAAAGTGGTATTTTAGGCCACTTAGTACTTGACAGTTGCCACAGGTTTTGTTGATGAATAAATACTTAATGCTTCAGCCTTGAAGTGAAAAACGCGTTGTTGCCTGCTTTTGGACACTGAAATGTGGCTGATGCTGTCCATCGAATTAGCCCACGCCCCTTTGTTGCTGCACGGTGGTTCTTTCTGGCAGGGGTCTGTGCTCAGGGCCCTGGGCAGTGTGGTAACCTCCGCCCTCCGGCCTGCCGCACGGCTCAGCGCGGTTTTGTTGGGAAAGTTGGTTCCCCCCTCGCAGCCCCGTTCCAGTTAAATTCCTTGCAGCATCTTGCGGCGGGGTCAGGTCAAGTTTTGGTCCTCCCCTCTCTGCTTCTGGCCGCTGGATCTGCTGTCACCCTTCTTGGTGCTGGCATCCTCGAGATGTTCTGTGAGTATTTCATCCCCTCAGCTGGCAGAGAACTATTCATCTTTCTTGGCTGTAAGAATAGTTTGCTATTTTAATGAGTGGAATGCAACTTCTAAAAGGGTCAGCAGACCTGGCAGAAACTAAGGAATCACCAGTTTCACGAAACTTGGTAGGGCTCTTTTGGGAAGCTAAGAAGAAAATTAGTTCAGTTCACTATTGATGTATTTAAAATGTTAAGGCTGGCTTCCCTATACAGCCTGTCGGGTTTAATCCAAGTCTTTTCAGCAAGTTGGTACCTGTTATACTTACCTGGTCCTGCTG